CAGATTCCCCTTTTAGTTTTTGACTCACTGTGTAAATTATTTTAAATCTCTGTAACCAGATCGCTCTAGAATAAGGGAAAGAATACCGCAGAATTAGAATTTAGAATTCTTTTTTTTTTTTTTAAATAGGAGTCTCACTCTGTTGCCCAGGCTAGAGTACTGTGGCACCCTCACAGCCACCCCAGCGTCGACTTGCTGGGCTTAGGTGATCCATCCGCCTCAACCTTCCAAGTAGCCAGAACTACAGGTGCGTGCTACCACGCCCAGCTTATTTTTTTATTGTATAGACGAGGTCTCGCCAAGTTGCCCGGGCTGGTCTGGAACCTGCGGGCTCAGGCAATCCACTCACCTCAGCCTCCCAAAATGCTAGGATTACAGACTGAGCCACCAAGCCCTGCATTTAGAGTTCTATTTGGAAAGACCAAACTCTCTTGTAGTGTGAACTCCAGGTTTAGATTATTTTTTCTTTCTTGGCTTGTAAATAGATTTTTATATGAACCTGCCATTTTTTGGTTGCTCTTTTATTTGTTGTCCTTCTAAATAAATGAACATATTTAACTCAGAGAGGCAAAACAATCTTCTCTCCCCGGAAATTCCTCTGCCATGTTCAGGTTACTTGGTTGTCGTTGTCACATTTGAAGTTATGTTGTCTGTAAATAAAAGCAAATGATGTTTTTATAAGGAGACAGATATCCTGGAGGGACGTTCCAAGTGTTCAGTTGGCCGTGATTTTCAACTAGTTCTCTTAAATTCGACTTAGATCTGTTTATCATTATTTTATTGTAAGTTTCTGGGGAAAAGAGAACAGTTTGCCTTTGGCTTCTCGCAAAGTTGTATCAAATTTAAGCTTATTGGAAAACAAGAACAAATGTTAAAAAAGAAAAACAATTACCACTTCATTTGCAATGTTTCATCTCTATATACTATGTAGCATTGGAAAACATTTTTATATGAGGTTGGTCACAGCAACACCTGTTAAATGACTGTGTCTTTTGCAAGTAACGAATTGCTTTCTTGGCCTCTTGTGTCTTCTTTCTCCACAATGCATTGGTGTAGCCCTTGACTTATTAATGGCTCACAGAGCTTTAAGACAACTGCTTCAGAGTAAAAGTGTAGGGACAGGACTGTTCTTTCTTCAAGTTTTTTGCTTTCATCAAGGCAAATGACAGAATGTCTGCAGATATGCCTGTAATGTATAAGATACCATGTTTATTTGTAGAATAAGTATGAAATCCTTTTTATATGTGAGAAATGTCTCTATGCTCAGGATCATGAACTTACTTTTTTCATGTTCATTATTCCATAACTGGAAGGAGTCTGGGGATGTGTACACATCAGAGGGCACCAAGAAAGCCAGAGACCCTGTCCTGGAGGACTATATTTCCTTTTTCGTTTTTTATAACTTTTTCACTAGAGTTACTCCCATGTTTCAAGGGGCCTGGAGAGCTATTTATTTTGTGTTTAACAGAGAAAAGAGGGTCTAGTGTGCACTTTTTGCTTAGTTCAAATGAAAACATAATTGAAATTTCATGTAGAACACTTCCATGTTTTCTCCTTGGAGATCCATGTGTGATTACATTTTTATTCAGAAATTATGAAAATATTTATAAAATGATGTCTGTGTTTAGATATAGTACATTGTTTGGATCTACAGCTTGAAGACATTGTTTTGTTGAATGTTTTTAGAACAGAGCTCTATTACCTTCCTCTATTATAAAGAGGTCTTTAGTAGAGAAGGCTTATGAAGAGAAGCTTCTCTTTTATGGCTGATGTTTATAACCAGTGATGTTAGGTTATCATCATAAAACAAGTGATGTATTTTGGTCTTTTGCTGGCTTAATCTTGCTATTTTTGAAGTTGGGCTTTAATTTTTAATGGCTGTGTGTGTCCGTTGTATGGTTAGACTACTGTTTAACCTTTCTACAGTTTTTATTATTTCAGTTTCTTGTATTTTTCATGTTCTTGATAGTGTGGTGAATTTTTTTGTACATAAATAAACACCTCTGATTATCTCCAAGTGTTACTATGCTAACTGGTATGAACTTCTAGGTTCTGGATATGTTCTGCCAAATTACTTTCTAGAAAAGTTTATACATTTATAGTTAGTGTTTTTATTAGTATAAACTCATCATATTTTCACCAATATTGAAATAGTAAAAAATTAATATGGCTACCCACTGAGTGGCAAAATTATAGAGGGGAAAATCTTAAAGTTTGTCTAGTACAGCATTTTGCAGAGAGGTACAGTGAAGATAATTAAAATAAAAATTAGGTTTAGTTTAGTTTTCTGGACTTCTGGTTCAGTGTTGTTTTCACCAGAGAATACAGCATTATTATTTATTGAATGTCAGTGATATGACTAGGTACTGTACTGGACACTTAGCCTTTTAAAAAATTTAATCTTCCCAACAACCGAAATATTGAGTGGCTTGAAACTGTTTTATAGAGAAGAGGACATAAGGAAGAAATTAAGGAAAACTTCCAGTGCTGAATGTGGAAAAAATAGATATGCTTTTTCTCTCTGTCCAAAGGATGGATTGAGGAGAATGAGTGGAATTCACAAAGAAGTATTTTGGATTAATATAAGAACTTTCTAAAGAGTGCATTATTGCTGTTCACTAAAGAAAAAGAGGTGGCCACATTGATTTAACATCGCTGAGTTTTGATAGTTTTTTAGCATTGTCTATTTTTTGATTAGGAATGTGGAAAATAGGGTCCACATATTGAATTAAGAGCCAGGACTAGTTGACTGTCAAGTATCTAGTTGACTATGCTATATCAAGTGCCTGGCTGTAGCTTATTGTTCATTAAGGATAACTATTATTAAAAGTAATTAGATAAAAAGATACCGTGAAGTTTGTGAAGCTAGCAACAGCATTTCAGAAATGCTGATAAATACTGAACAGAAGTAAGCAAAGAAGAGTGGTGAAGAGGGAGCAGCTAAAGCACCGAGTCTTGAAAGCCAAGGGGCCGATTTGTTGGTAAAATACTCGATGGAGGTTAAAAGGAGAAGAGTTATCATACACAAATCACCCATAGTCCCCTACCAAGAGATAAATGTTATTTTTTGGATTCTTTTCAGATTTCAGAATGTGAATTTAAAAGTTTTATATGTATATCTCTATAGATAATATCATTAAACCTACCATTATATCATCTTCTTTTGTCACTTAATAAACATGTGAATATCTTTATATCGGTAAATATGGATATATTATAGTGTTTTATTGCCATACAGGATTTCATTACAGGGTAGAACATATTAATAGATATTTAGGTTGTTTTCCCACGCTATAAACAGTATTCTCTCCCTCTGTTTCTGCTACCATTATAGTTGAGGCTATCTTTGCTCGCCTGCATTGTCTCTTAATGTTTTTCTTTTTTCTTTTTTCTTTTTTTTTTTTGAGTTGGAGTCTCACTCTGTCGCCCAGACTGGAGTGCAGTGGCTGCTCCTGGCCACTGCAGCCTCGGCCTTCTGGGCTCCAGCAATCCTTTCGCCTAAGCCTTCCAAGTAGCTGGAGCTACAGGCGCGCACTACCACGCCCGGATGATTTTTGATTTATTGTAGGGATGAGGGCTCGCCAAGTTGCCCAGGCGGGTCTTGAACCAACGGGCTCAGGCAATCCACTCACCTCGGCCTCCCAAAATGCAGGATTACAGGATGAGCCACCGAGCCCGCCCAATTTTTTTCTTAACCTTTTAGTTATCTACACATTGCCATGAATGCTTAGGAAGACTTTTTTTTTTTTTGAGTTGTAGTCTCACTGTCTCCCAGGCTGGAGTGTAGTGGAACATTCACAACCACCGCAGCATCCACCTGCTGGGCTCAGGTGATCCTTCTGCCTCAGCCTTCCAGATAGCTGGAGCTATAGGCATGCAGCACCATGCCTGGCTGATTTTTTTATTTATTGTAGCGATGAAGTCTTGCAAAGTTGCCCAGGCTGGTCTGGAACCTGTGAGCTCAGGCAATCCTCTCCTCTTGACCTCCCAAAGTGCTGGGATTATAGGTGTGAGCCACCACATCTGGCCTAGGAAGACTTTTATAAACAGAAGTTTTATGGAAACTTTTTAGAAAGATAAAATGTAACAAAAGTTTAAAGTGTTCAGTGAATGGTTAGATATCAGTAGATAGTCCTCCTTAAATATCCAGCTAGAAACTGACTTACAATTTCTGCAAGTGCCAGCATAGACCAAGCCTTCAGCATCTCATTTGGAACCACAGTAGTTTCCTAAGTGATCTCTCTGCATTCACTTTTACCTGTCTGCAGTGTGTTCTCCAAAGGACAGGACCTAAGTTGACACTGTCTGCTCTGCTCAGAATTCTCCAGTGGATTCCCATTCTGTTATAAAACCTGAACTTCTTTCTGTAATCTAGAAAATCTTATAGAATTTGGTCCCCGTCTCCTTCACCTGAACTCTTCTGGTGTGCTCTCCTCACTTGGTTGCCATCACACTGAACTCCAAGCATGTTCACTTCATGGCATTGCACTGGTCGTTTTCACTGCCTGAATTTTCTTTCTTGAGACAGCGTCATATCAGGGCTATGTTCAAATGTTGCTTAGCAAAGAGCCTTTCTGTGACTACCTTATCTCAAAGAACACTCATTACTCTTCAATTCTCTCATCCTGTTTTGCTTTTAATTCATAGCACATTTAATTTGACAATATATATTTGTTTACTTGTTTATTATCTGTTTCCTCTTCTAGACTTCAAGTTCCACGAGAACAGGGGTTTTATCTTTTCTATTCACTGCTGTATTGTCAGTATCTGCCTGGTATATAATAGGTGCTCAGTACATATTTGTGTACTCTGGGTAGTAATTAGGGAAGATAGTTTATTATAGGCCTGGCAATGCTAAAGATGGGGATGACTATTTGGGCAATAAGAAAAAAATTATTAGCACCTCAAAGCTGTTTTAGACATTTTATAAAGCTTGGTAGAAGTATTTGCTTTATATAATTGATGTTTTATCAAAAATATTTGGTTATATTTCATTTAAGATGAAGAAGATAACTCTACATGTAAGAAGGCAGCCTCTAAGTCAAAAGAGAATGGAGCATCTACAAATAGTTATCTCGGAACATCAAACACAAAAAAGAATGAAGAAAACACTAAGACCAAAAATAAGCCTTTGTCACCAATAAAACTTACACCCACATCGGTGCTTGATTATTTTGGTACTGGCAGTATCCAAAGATCAGATAAAAAGATGGTGGCAAGCAAGAGAAAAGAGGTGAGTGTTCCACATGCAAGCAAGAATGCTCAGGATTTGTAGCCCCTCACTGATATTAATATGAGGAGAAATTAGGAGGCCACAAATGAATCAACATGTTTTATTAATAGAAATAATTTTCTGGCCATTGCTTTGTTAAACTCTGGTATGTCCACATGGCTTTTTGAGCTATGGCTGCCATGTTTTCCTAAGCTTTGGCCCTCACCCATGCCTTGGGGAGGTGAATCTCCTCTGTGTCTCTGTGTCTCTCTCTCTAATTTACTTTCTAAATAAACTTTGCGTGAAAACTTAAAAAGGGTGGGGAGGGATAAAAAAACTTTAAAAATATAATAATTTTCTTATGATTATAGATAAAATATATTGTCCTCATCCTAGAGGATGAGGAAATTAGAATATCACACATTTGTTTTTTTTTGAGTTGGAATCTCACTCTGTCGCCCAGACTGGAGTGCAGTGGCTGCTCCCGGCCACTGCAGCCTCGACCTGCTGGGCTCCAGCGATCCTTCCACCTCAGCCTTCCAAGTAGCTGGAACTACTGGTGCGCGCTACCACACCCGGCTAATTTTTTAAAATTTATTGTAGAGATGAGGCCTCACCAAGTTGCCCAGGCAGGTCTCGAACCTGCAAGCTCAGGCAATCTACTCATCTCAGCCTCCCAAAGGTGCGGGATTACAGGCTGAGCCACCGAGCCCGGCACACATTTGATTTTTAATTTTTGAAAATGGGAGAAGGAGGCTGAGTGCGTGGCTCATGCCTATAATCCCAGCAATTTGGGAGGCTGAGGTGAGAGGATTGCCTGAACCTGTGGGTTTGAGACCAGCCTGGGCAACTTGGCAAGACCTCATCTCTACAATAAATCAAAAAATTAGCCGGGCATGGTGGCGTGTGCCTATTGTTCCAGCTACCTGGAAGGCTGAGGTAGAAGGATTGCCTGAGCCCAGCACGTTAAGGCTGTAGTGGCTGGGAGTGTGCCACTCCAGCCTGGGTGACAGAGTGAGACTTAACTAAAAAAAAAAAAAAAAAGTGGGAGAAGGTCATTTAAACTAGAAGAAAAAAATTTTTAATTATTGAAATTTAAATTGAATTCTCAGAATGCAAACTCATTTTACTATTGATCTCAGCCAGATGAAATTAGACAATAAATTTATTCCCGAGTTTATAGATACTTCCTTATACATAGAACATACCTGTGCCATACTGTTGACCTTCTCTACTTTGCCTAATACTGGAGTCATCTGCTTCTGGTCATTTAGGAAACAAACACACAGGTAAATTAGAGGCTAAATAAAGCCTGCTGAATGGTGTGTGCTTGTTGATTTCATCACTGCCTCCATAGGACAATGTAATCATTGTCACATACCGGTTTGCCAATGTTCTGGACTACTTGGCAAGTCAAGACATTGGGGTTTTTTTTTGGTACTTCTCTTGAACCTATAAGTAGACCTAAGTGAGAACCATCTGTCTATAGGATATTTATGTGTTAGGAAATTGGATTTAACTTAAGGTTTATGCTGATCTTGCTTGTTTTTCTTTGATGTATAGTCTTCACAAAATACAGACGAGTCTGGATTAAGTGATGAAGCCATTGCCAAGCAATTGCAACTTGATGAAGATGCAGAGGTATGAGCAGTTCATTTAGATATCATTAATAACTCGATATCGTAACTTGCTATTTTGTCTAGCCAAGCAAACAGTCAAGCTTGTTCTAGTCTAATATTGAATTGAGCCTCATTGGAATTTACATGTAAAATAAGTTAAAATGTAGTATATGAAAGTCTAAATTTCTGTAAAAGATAAATGATGAGACGGGAATACTTATTTACTTAAGGATTTGTTTTTAGAGTTCTTTGAACAGCAGTCTCCTTAAGTATATTTAAAATTATTTGATTTGCTTATATCTTTTTTTCTTTTTACTATGAGCAATCTCACCCATTCCTCTGCATTTATATGCCAGTGATCCCTAGTTCTTTTTCCAGTCCAGAGCTCTCTCTTGATCTATAAAACCATATAGTCATTCAACAAGTACATATTGAGTACTTACTGAGTGGCTGGCACTGTTGTTGTAGGTGTTAAAGGGTACAGCAGTTAACAACAAAAAAAGGAAGTGAAATATTCAGGCCATTATAAGTGCTATGACGAAAAGTATAAAGGGATGGGTTTGGGGTGATAAGTGGGATTGTGAGTGTTTTGTTGTTTTGAGACAGGATCTCTCTCTGTCCCAGGCTAGATACAGTGGCAAGAGCATAGTTAACTGTAGCCTTAACTCCCTGGGCTTCAAGTGATTCTCCTGCTTCAGCCTCATCATGTGTATTTTATTTTATTTATTTTATTTTTATTTTTTGGTTGTTTTTTTTTTTTGAGTTGGAGTCTCATTTTGTTGCCCAAACTGGAGTGCAGTGGCCGCTCCCAGCCAGTGCAACCTCGACCTGCTGGGCTCCTGCGATCCTTCCATCTCAGCCTTCCAAGTAGCTGGAACTACAGGTGTGTGCTACCACGCCTGGCTAATTTTTTGATTTATTGTAGAGATGAGGTCTCGCCAAGTTGCCCAGGCAGATCTTGAACCCGTGGGCTCAGGCAACCCACTCACCTCAGCCTCCCAAAGCGTGGGATTATAGGCTGAGCCACCGAGCCCGGCTGAGTATTGTATTTTAAATAGAGGAGTTAGGAAGTTCCTTCTGAGGAAGTGGCATTGAGGCACAAAATGCAGTAGTACAGCGAGCCATTGAGTGGAGGGAACAGCAAGTGCAAGCATCCTGAGGTAGAAGGTGCTTTATGTGTTCAGGTGACTGGTATGGCTGGAGAACAGTGATGAAGCAGGAGAATGCTGTGAGATGATTTTGGAGAAATGGCCAGCAGCAAATCTTATAGGTCATGATAGGACTTTGCTATCTACAAAAAGGAGTTTAGATGGTAAGAACTTTGGGTTCTAGTTTCTTTGAGATGTGAACCCATTTGGAGTTTTGAATAGAGAAGCGTCGTGACTTGATGGATCTTAAAAGAAAATTATTTTGGCTTCTGTGATACTGATACACCGTGGTGGGGCAAGAACAAAATCAGATCAGTTGGGAGACGTAGTAGTAAGGTGGGTGAGAGATGTTGCCTTGTACCATCATTTGTAATTTTTAGGTATTTGGCTTCTTATCTGTCCCAAATACTGGAAGGTTAACCAATCTTTTCCAAACAAAAGTACCAAGTGTGGTACTTGTAGCACAATCCTTCATTTTATTATTTCTATCACATTCTTTTAGCATTATATTTGGGTAATTTATTAATCCAATGAAGGACGTTTAGGGTGTTAATGACTGAAGATGTCTTTCCTGATTAGCTGTTTTCCTCTCTTCTTTTTTCTCCTTTTTTTTTGAGTTAGAGTCTCACTGTTGCCCAGGCTAGAGTGCAGTGACACACTCACCGCCACTGCAGCTTCGACCTGCTGGGCTCAGGTGATCCTTCTGTTTCAGCTTCCCAAATAGCAGGAGCCACAGGCATACACCACCACACCTGGCTAATGTTTTTTATTTATTGCAGAGATGAGGTCTTGCCAAGTTGCCCAGGCTGGTCTCGAATCTCTGAGCTTGGGCAGTCCTTTAACTCTGCCTCTCAAAGTGCTGGGATTACAGGCATGAGCCACCACACCTGGCTTTTTCTCCACATTTTTAACAGATTGGGTGGATTTTGAAGTCCTTTTCTTGGTTTCCATATATTAGGCCATTTTATCAGGGGGCATAAAACCATTTAGTTTATAATGAGAAATATATTCCACGACACATATTCTCTTCTGGGAGAGTTTCATTTGGTGAAAGTTAAAATATTTGGAAATAACTGAGATAACTAGAATGAAGAGGTCCAGCCCCTTGCTGGGTCGTGAGGTTTCCTGAAGGAAAGACAGATAGGCAAAAGACGAAAATATTATACTCAGACACCTGCTTCCTGAACAGATGACATCCTTTATTACTTAACAGAAAGCTTTTATACCATTTGTAAAGGGACAAGACAAAGAAAATCCTTCACGTACATATCCTTTAAAAGTTACCACCATCTAGCGGTCTTAGAAGAAACGAACAAGCCAAGAACACTATCTACTTTCAGTTAATGAGTCTTGAGATAAGTTTAAAAGGAGTTTCACTTAAACTAAACATAATGCATACAAGGTTTACTTTGATTTTGGTTCCACATCACTTGTCTAATTAAAAAAGCCTTAAAATCACTAAAACAAAACTATAGATTGTACCTAGTGATAGTAGGAATATGAAACCCATTAACTTGACCAAACAACAGTGGCTAGTATTTAAAGAATAACTATGAAAGTCACTTACCGTGAAAATACACACACTAATCTTTACTCTGAATAAACATATAAAGTGAACTAAACATAATGAAATAAAACTAACACAACTAAAATTATTATGGTTGCATAATTGCTAATGAGCTTTTAAGTTTAAGATAATGGTGATTTGGCTGATTTCCCTTACGCTTGGCAACCTCCTGGAAAACATCTTTGTTTTAAGATAGGCACTGGAGCAATTATTATGATCTTTGAGGCACCAATTTTATTATTGTGTGAACTTAAACTTATGAACTTAAACAATCTTCAAAGTAACTATAAAACACTAAACTATAGCATTAAAACTTAATTAGTGACTCAAAGTAAAAACCTTGTTAAACATAACCAGAACCTAATAATTTTTGTCAACCCTCATACATATGTATATTGATCATATAAACTTGTATGATATTACATTTACTAATTACGATTAATACATGGATAAAACAATTATCATGTCTAGAATAGCACTGCCAGCAACTCTCTTCAGCAGAGTCCCAAATTACAGTCCTTGAAGTGCTTCAAGAAAGTTTCCAGGTGCAAAGTTCTTCATGTAGCAGGAGTTTTTCTCTTTTGGGCTTTTACGACCTTCAAAGCTTTGTAATCGTCTTTCTTGTCTAGGTGTCTTCATTACTTTTCTCTTAACCTGCAGTGTTTATTTCTAAAGAAAACTCAAAAGAAGCTTTTAATGACATTTCCCAGGCCCCTAAGGTTGCTTTCTGTATTTAGTTAATTATCATAAAAGTATCTAATTAGTATATTATAAATTTAGTGAAAACCCACTCTATAAACGTTTACTTAAAATTTAACTATAGAATTAAGTAAAAACCTTAACGATTAATCTTTATCTTAAGTCTGTGAAGACAGTGTTATAAATCACCTACATAACTCCTAGATAACTGTTAGAACTTATAATGAATTCATAATGAACTTACTATAAACTTATGCTTCTATAAAACCTTATGTTTAAACACTAAACTGCATAATTCTAAATCAAATAAGGAGTGAATATACTAATATCATTTTTTATTCAAGCAATATCTAGTAACTTATAACCAAGTGAAAGAAAGCATTCTTGATGTGCTTCAGAGTTAAACCCTTGCATATGTTAGAAAAGGCCAAGCAGCATAGTGGAAAAATGGGAAAATGAACCATGACATTCTCAGATTAGGTGTGAGTACTTCGCATAAACATGCCATTTTCTTCTTCCACGACTGCACAGAATTTCTTCAGCCGTACCAAACAGCAAAGGTGGAAGACAGAAGGGCCTCAGCTTCCCGGGCTCGCCCTGCGGCCCGGGGTCTTCGGCCCACCAGAACCCTGTCAATCAGGTGGACCTTCAAGGCCGGCTCCCAACACTAGAATGTCTGTGTTATGACATTATCATGTTACGAAAACTTCTTATTTTATTTTATTTTTTATTTTGTGTGTGTTAGGAAAACTTCTGACATAGTGACTTACATTTTCAAAAGTCAGAACAGATGTGTTTGAATTAGTAATCAAAAATAGGAGTTTGGCCTGGCACTGTGGTTCATGCCTGTAATCTCGACACTTTGGGAGGCAGAGGGGGAAGGATTGCCTGAGCTCAGAGGTTTGAGACCAGCCTGGGCAACTTGGCGAGACCTCGTCTGTACAATAAATAAAAAAATTAGCTAGGCATGGTGGCACGTGTCTGTGGTTCCAGCTACTTGAAAGGTTGAGGCGGAAGGATCGCTTGAGTCTAGGAGGTCGAGGCTATAGTGGCCATGAATGTGCTACTGCACTCCAACCTGGGTGACAGAGAGAGCCTCCAACTAAAAAAATAAATAAATAAATAAATGCAATAAACAACAACAACAAAAAGACAGAATAGGTGTTTGTTTAAAAGTGATTTTACAGTTATGTATAGCTTACTATCGTGTGCAAATATTTAATTTTCTTAATTTCTTTGATTCTCTTTTTTGTGCCCTTTAGATGATTATGTTTTCTATTAGGTTGAGATTCTTTTTAAAGGTCTTTCTAGAGTTTAAAATAAATAGAAATAAGATATCTGTAAGTGTTGCATTAAGGACCATTAAGAGAAAACTCCAGAGTTCAAATTTTATAAATAAGAAATGTGGCTTTAAAAATATGCTCAATTTATCATGCCTCTAAAATTAGAGCTGTATGTTCTGAAATCTGATCGACTTAGTGAAACAAACCTGTGATACTTGGCTGGTAATGTTGAGTGGAAAAGTGTCACAATTATTTTCTGGGAAATGTTTTTCTAGTTTCTTCTAACAGTATAAATCAAACATTTAAATCCTTTCATTTAAAAAAAGAATGAAAGCAACTCAGCGTGTTGACATTTTTTACAGCTGGAAAGGCAACTGCATGAAGATGAAGAGTTTGCCAGAACATTAGCCATGTTGGATGAAGAACCCAGGACTAAAAAGGTGGCATTTTATTGGTCTGGTTGCACTCTGAATATGCAGTCCAGATCAGTGTTCCTTTCCATGATAGTATGTTGTAGGCTCTGGAGATACTTGCGTGAATAACTCTTCCAGAAAAAAACTAAATTATTTTAATTTATAAAAACACTTTTGAGGAAGCTTATTGGTAAACGTCCTAAAAGAAGTTTGACAGAGCCAAAGCAAACCAGAACCTTTCTTCCTAAATCAAATAATTTTTCCTTGCTCTTTATCATAGGGTTTCTTATGTTCAGAGAATAATGCTTACAAAAATTCCTTTAGGGCAACCCCCTTGGGTTTCCTCCCACTGTGGGAGCTTTTCTGTCCTGTCAATAAATCCTGCTTTCTAAAAAAAAAATTCCTTTGGAACATAAGTTTAATAACTTTAATGTTAATTACTGTCTTTTCAGGAAGCACAACTTTGTTATTTCTTATTAGCTAACTTTAAGATCTGTTTCATATTAGGAAAGTCTCAAATAATAATGAGTCTTTTTTGAGAATCTTCTAAAAGCATCAAGAATTCTTTTTAAACACTTGGGCTCCAGTGGATTAGCTTTGTTTTTGATGAATCACATTCTGTTAACATAGTTGTCAATCAATATCTGACTATTTTAAAGATTTTACTGTTTTCTTATAAAGCGGGGAGTTGTAAACTTAGATACTAGCAGGGTCCAAGACAGTAGGGAGTGTTGGGAACTTGGTCATTTGAAAAGCCTTACTGCCTCTAAAGACACTCAAATTATAATTATCTTTTAAAAAATACTATCTCACACACCTCAATCGGTGACCTTTTTATAAAATGGAATTTTGAGAAGCAGTGGAGAGAATGGAAATATATTTTTCTCTTTTTTTCAAGCTTTTGTTTGCTTTTAAGTTAGTCTTTTACATTTAGATTTTTGTTTTTAACTGTGTAATACTGACAGTTTGAGGGTTGAGATGAAAGAAACAGAAATAGGGCTTCTTCTTCCAGATTCACACAGGTTGAAATGAGCTGGGATAAATTTTTATAGATGTATTTTTATACCCTCTCATCTTAAAATGTAGTAATAAAACATGCTTCATTTGCCCTGGGAGTTTTGTAGATGAACGAATGACAGTTTATTGTGGTAGCCTGCTAGTTTGGAAGGTGACCCTTAAAATTAAAAGCTTAATGAATTTTAATAACATTTGTGGTAATAGTTTTATTATTTGTCACATTTGATACTTTTAAAATTTGTTTAGGCCCGAAAGGACACAGAAGAGGGAGAAACGTTTTCATCTGTCCAAGCCAGTTTAAGTAAAGCAGGAAAACATAAATACCCTCATAAAGGTAATATAAGCAGAAAACAGTAAGACGGAGCACTTGTCTTTACAAAAGAAAATTCATGACAATCTTATTTAGACACTGGGTTCAGTAATTGTATTGTGAGCTAGACAGTGTTTCATAGAACCATTAGAGCATGTTATACTTAGAAACTTTGAAAGTTATTTGGGTGCAGGTACAGAATGCCCATACAGCTCATGGCTTCTTGTTAATTTCCAAGTATAGTGCAGTGTGTGGACTTCAGTATATGAAGACAAAGGGCTAAATGTTTTGCCCTTTTCATGTTAGAAATAGTCTCATAGACTCGACTCATAGCTGGCCAGGTCAACTTCAGCTCTCCTGCTGCTTGCCTGCAGGTTTTATTCTTTTTTTAAATTTTTTAATTTTTTTGAGTCAGAGTCTTTACTCTGTCACCCAAACTGTAGTGCAGTGGCACGCTCACAACAACCACAACAATTGCAGCCTCGACCTGATGGGCTCAGGCGATCCTTCCACCTCAGCCTTCCAAGTAGTTGGAACCATACACGTGTGCCACCATGCCCACCTAATTTTTTGATTTATTGTATGTAGAGACGAGATCTCGCTAAGTTGCCGAGGCTGGTTTTGAGTCTATGGGCTTAGGCAATCCTCTCGCCTTGGCCTAGGATTACAGGCATGAGCCACCATGCTGGCTAGGTTTTATTCTTTAGTGGTCCTGATATCGAATCATCCTAGTGTAGATGATCTTAATCTTGTTAAAGATTTACTGTAAACAGATGGTCTTGACACCTCGGAATTTTGGGCCTTCAGGCTATATTTCAAATGTAGATTTTTATGTGACAAATCTCTTAATTTGAACTGTTTATACAAATAAGTTATATACAAATGCTTAATTTTTAAAAATAAATGTGCTTATAAGCCAAAGAACTAAAATACTGATATAAGCGTTTTGAAATCACCATGTGATAGTCCGTGCTAAGATTACTCAGTTGAAAAATGAAAAAAAAAAATGTTGATATTGGGTATCAGTTTCCAGAAACAATAATCATAATTTGTTCTTTTTTCTAGTAAAAGCAGAACAATTTTCAGATGAAAGAAAGAGCTACAGTCCTAAGAAGCAAACTAAATGTGAAAGTTCAAAAGAATCTCAGCAACATTCCAAGCCATCAGCTAGCAAAATAGGAGAGTCTTCTCCAAAGGCCAGTTCTAAGTTGGCACTCATGAAAAAAAAAGAAGATAGCTCTTATAAAGAAACAGAGCCTGTGGCCTCAAAAAGAAAAGAAAATTCCATTGAATTGAAAGGAGACACAAAAACTCCTAAGAAAACCAAAAGTTCTCCTGCTAAAAAAGAGGTAGGAACATTCTAAGATGTATAGCAGTCCCTCTTACCTGTGGTTTTACCTTTGGAGGTTTCAGTTACCTGTGGTCAGTCATGATCTAAAAATATTAAATGGAAAATTCAAGAAATAGACATGTAATTAGGTTTATATTGCACAGCATTTTGAGTTGCATGATAAAATCTCTCTCATACCCCACTTTGTCCCATCCAGGATATGAATAGCTCCCATGCTTTATGTGCTATCTGTCTTCCCATTAATCACTTAGTAGCTGCCTTGGCTATGAAATAGAAAAAGCATAGTATATGTATGTATATATAGAATTTGGTACTGTCTGCGGTTTCAGGCATCTACTGGTATCTTGGAACGTGTCCCTTGTGGATAAGGGGGACACTATATATTTTGGTGTTATGTGTTGATCTGAGTTTGTATTCAAGTTTTATTTCTAATTTCATAAGTCATTATGATGCTTTTAAGATATCTTATTTAGAAGCTGTTTATAGATGATTAGTTTAGCTACATTAGCTAATTTTTATTACTGTGTACCAGATATTGTGCCAATACTTTACATTTGGTAGCTCATACAATCTTCATAACAACCCTGAGATGTTTACTTTTATTATTCAGTTTTTAAAGATGAGGAAATAGGATGAAAGAGCTTGAGTAACTATTCCAAGATCACCCAGCTAGTAATGGTAGGGTCAGCCTTGAACTCAGGTCCTCTGAAGACAGAATCAGCAGTGTAACAGAGTGGCTGCAAGCATGCCCTCTGGAGCCAGTTTCAAATCAAAGCCCTGCCACTGAGCAGATGTGTGACCTTCCCCTCTCTGCGCTTCAGTTTCCTCATTTGTAAAACAGGGATAATAATAGTATCTAATGAGTTAATATGTAAAACCACTTGGAGCAGAGAATGGGACCCAGGTACCATGTAAGTGTTAGCTATTATTCTTAAGATAACTGTTTGTGTTTGTCTTGAATTCACACCTTTTTGTTCTTGTATAACATTGTTGAGATACTGAAATCATTTTCAAAGGAAAAAATGGTGAAATAATGAATGTTTTTCAAAAGTTTTCTTTGTTTTCAAATATATTTGAGAAACTAATAGTTTCTTTGAGTCTCCATTTTGGAACCACATTGAATTCATAATGAGAAACCACTATTCCTTCTTGCCTGTTAGGCACTTAGAATTAAAAGCAGACTATTGTCTATTTTATCTGCTCATCACCATTATTTTTTAGTGTAGAACAGTGAAATGATGATGATTTCAAAATGCTTTTGTTTTGTGGGCAAAGCTCATAAGTACGCTCAAAGGAACCATTAACTTCTTAGTCTCAGATTTTTCTTCACTAAATGCTTATCTGGTGGATGAATGTTTTTCTTCAGGCACACTAAATGTGCAATTTACAGAGGCTGTCTATTTTTATGGAAAAACAGGAAATCGTTAAATGCTAGTTACTCTTCACTGTACTTTTTAAAGCTGGAATAAAAATAACTCAGAACTTTTACTTCAGAACTTTTACTTTTGAGAATATCAGAGTCTGTGTAATAAATTCAGTTGATCTTGGTCAAATAATTCTGATTTTGTAAATGGGTGTGCTTCAAAACTATGTTATAAGTGGTTTATAATTCAGAATTTTTTTCGCAGAATTACTATGTTCTAAATGAATAATTTTTCTTGTTGGTATGCATTGGACTCTCTTGAAGAGCTTGTTAAAAATATGATTTCTCAGGGCATGTGATCTGGGCAGCTGTATTCAAAAAAAAAAAAATTTTTTTTAAAGCAGCTATATTTTTATAAGCTCCTCGTTTGATATGAATGTCCATTGTTAAAAAGTAGTAGTAGAGTGTAAGACCAACCCATAATAGCTTATTTAGCTCGTACCATAACAAAACCAGCTTAACTATTTTATTGGTTAAGTCATTTATTTATATAGAAGTATTTTTTCATCTACTCTCAGAGACTTGGGGTTACTTACAAGTTAAAAATACAGAAAATAGGAAGTGGAAAAAATAACAGAGACTATCTTGTAATGGGTTCTTAAATCAGAATTGTTTAGGATGTTTCTCCCCGGGAAAAATAGCTACACCCTGTATTCTGAATCAGAAACTTGGAGGTGGGTCCAGGGATATATAGTTGGAAAAATATCCCCAGGAGATATAGCCATAGAGAAATCCCAAGAGAAATAGAATGGGAGAGATCAAACACAGAAAGCAAAGGATGTTGTGGATCATGTGTCTGCACCTTGGAGCAAAGCTCACCTCTTCTTTGAGCTGGCTGTTTCTCTGAACTTTTGATTCTCAGAATGGAACGCTCATAACCCTAGGGATGTAGGGCAGTGTTTTAGGGGGTGCAAGGTCATAGGAGTAACGTAGTGTTTCTCCTTGGATGATCAGGTTTATTTGGGGAAACAAATTATGTTTCTGTTAAAATGAAGATGGATATATCATGGAATAGAATTTAAAGCTCACAAGAATTTTTTGAGTAAAACATTTTTCCCCTTTCTCTACTTGGAGCTGGCAACTTGACTTATGTCCCTAATCTACCCCGAGGTATGTACCTTTAGAGAGAGTGGAAAATTCTGAGAAGGATTGATGCAGGGCTGTTTGTAAGTCAGCCACTGGTAAGTTGGGGAGTACTTGTGTAGCTAAAACTGTTAATTTTTGGACCAAACACTGAAATTACTTCATATTTATTTCTAGATATGTATTTTTAATTATACATGAATTTTGCATGACTTTGTTTGATTTCCTTTCCCTCTCCCAAAAGTCTGTAAGTCCTGAAGATTCAGAAAAGAAACGCACTAATTATCAAGCTTATCGAAGCTACTTAAATCGAGAAGGTCCCAAAGCTCTGGGCTCCAAAGAAATACCCAAGGTAAGAGTACTGAGAGGACATGCCATTCTGAACAGGCCTCTGCCTTGTGGGTCCATGTCTGTGTTCACTGTGCTTATAGTGGCAGAGAATTAATAACTTAAAATTGACAACAGAAAAGCCTCAGTCACTGTCTTTATGAATTAAGGATGTTTATTCACATAATGGATCCCTACTTGATACTTAGAAAAATTTTTCTTACTGCCAAAGGATGGAGAGGGGCCATGATAACGCCAATAAGGGTACCTGATCTCTGGGCTCGGTGGCTCAGCCTGTAATCCTGTGCTTTGGGAGGCTGAGGTGAGTGGATTGCCTGAGCCCACGGGTTCAAGACCCACCTGGGCAACTTGGCGAGACCTCATCTCTACAATAAATCAAAAAGAAATTAGCCGGGCGTGGTAGTGCACGCCTGTAATTCCAGCTACTTGGAAGGCTGAGGTGGAAGGATCGCTGGAGCCCAGCAGGTCGAGGCTGCAGTGGCCGGGAGCGGCCACTGCATTCCAGTCTGGGTGACAGAGTGAGACTCCAACTCAAAACAAAAAAAGAATACAAAAAAAGCACAAGGGTACCTGATCTCAAACCAGACAAAGTGAGGTCCCAAGGGAGGCCCAAACTTTACCTGTACAATGACCACTTGTATACCTAATTCTGAATTGTACCCCACATCTTAAAAAAGTATAATTAAAATTTAAAAAAAAGAAAAATTTTTCTTTAAATAACAAGCAGCCTTAGAAGATCTGGGCTTTGAGAATACTCCATCGGCAAGACTAATGCTCTTTGTCTGCATGGTGCTTATAGCCTAAGGAGGGAGATGCTGAGTAAGTCTTATTTAATTATAATTGTGGTATAATGAGGGAAAAATCTAAGATGACCTTAGAGAGGATAATAGAGGAAGCTGGCCCTGGGTGGGATGTGTAGAATAAATTACATTTAAATGGAGACTTGCAGAATGAAAGAGATTCACCAGATGTGAAGGGGTGAATCACCAGGTGTGATGGATAGTGACCCGGGCAGAGTGGCCAGAATGTGTGATGTCCCTGAGGGGGAAGTATCTTGCGTGGTATGTTTGAAGAACTAAAGAAAGCCGTGTAGTTAGGCCTGGTGACCACGGGGTAAGAGTAGTTGAAGAGGATGTGAGGGCCACATCTTGCAGAGCCTATTGTTTTGACCTTCTGCCTAAGAGAAGAAGTTTTCAGTGTGGGTAACATGACTGGATTTGCATTTCTGAAAGAGTGCTCTGGCTCCTGAGACTGGAGTGCAGTGAAAGGATAGAGCCACAGAGCTCATGCATGAGAGATGGGAAACAGTGGAAGTGTTGAAAGTGAAGTGGTTCTCATAGGAAGAGGTAAAATAGGACTTGGTCACTGGAAGTGGGAAGTGGGAAGTGAGAAAAAAATGGCATGGGCAACTGGGTGGATGCTGATGCCATTGGCAGCAGAGCCGGCTTGGAGAGATGAGGAGGAGTCTGTTGCTGGCCGTACTGTGCTCTAGGTGTGTGTCCACCTGGGGATGCTGGATAAGTAGGTGTGTGGGACTGGAGCTCAGAATGGAAGTCAAGACTGGATGTGGAACTTGGGCATTAGTGGCATGTGGATAGTATTTGAAGGGATTAATAGCATCTGGTAAACTAGTGCACATGAGAAGAGAAGAGCACCTTGGCCCTCTCCTCTTCATGAAGTAGAGGAGGCTGAAAACTGAAAGGAGATAAGAAGCAGCAGCCTCACATGTGGGAGAGAAGTCTGATAGAGTGTATCACAGAAGCAAAGGGAAGGGAGAATATTTGTAGAGTGATTGAGTGTCTGTCATGTTGTTAAGATTCCAAGTAAAGGGAGATTGGAGAAGCATAAGTAGATAAAAACTTTGAGAAGTTTGGTTGTGAAAGGAGTAAGTGAGAAAAGATGTCTAGGTAGAAATGGAAAGTGGGATTTAAGGGTTTTTTTTTTTTAATGGTAGGATATTTTTTATGGCAGAATTTTTTTTTTAAGTAGGGGTCTTATTCTGTTGCCCAGGCTGGAGTGCAGCAGCACAATCATGGCTCACTGCAACCTTGATCTCCTGGGCTCAGGCGATCCTTCTGCCTTAGCCACCTGAGTAGCTGGGACTACAGGCAACATGCCACCATGCCTGGTTAATTTATAGATTTTTTTGTAGAGACAAGATCTCACTATGTTGTCCAGGCCAGTGTCAAACTCCTGGACTCAAGCAGTTCTCCTGCCTCGGCCTCACAAAGTGCTGGGATAAATGGTGTGAGCCATTGCATCTGACTTTATGGTAGGAGATATTTAAAGCATGGTTTTTGCTGATGGGATAGATTCTACCACACAGGGAGAGATTGAAGATACACCAGAAAGAGAAGGATGATCAAATGTAGTGTGAAATTGCTGAGAAAGTGGGAGGGAAGGGGACAAATATACAATGTATATATAAATTTTTCTGTTTGCATGGTTTACATAATGACAGATGGAGATAAGTAGATTCCCTAGTGGAGGGAGAGGATGGTATAGCTGGTACTGGATTGGGGAGGACTGAGACTTGAGGGATTCATGGACTAGATAGGAGGCTAGAGGAGCAAGTGTAGGAGAGAATAAACAAGCACTGCTTGAGAAAACTTCAGCCAAGGGGATATCCTTAGGGCAGGGGTCCCCAACCCCCAGACCATGGCAGTCTGTGGCCTGTTAGGAACAGTGCCACATGGCAGGAGGTGAACGGTGGATGAGTGAGCAAAGCTTCATCTGTATTTAAAGCTGCTCCCCATTGCTTGCATTACTACCTGAGCTCTGCCTTCTTTCAGGTCAGCAGCGGCATTCGATTCTCATAGGAGTGCGAATTCTATTGTGAATTGCACATATGAGGCATTTAGGTTGTGCATGCCTTGTGAGAATCTAATGCCTGATGATTTGAGCTGGAGCTGGCGGTGATGCTAGCATTGGGGAGCAGCTGCAAATACAGATTAATGTTAGCAGTGAGGTTTGACTGCACAGAGACCATAATATATCAGTTGCTTGCAGACTCATATCAAAATCCTATCTGCGAGTGGCAAGTAAGTTGATCTACTTCACTTGTACAACTGCATCTGTGGGCAGTCTTTAAGTCAGAATCCAACACTTACTTTAGTCCGCTTGTGACCCACCCATTATTTTATTTACCACTTCTGTCTGTGCCTCTTTTTTTTATGGTGAGTTTTATAATTATTTCATTGTATATTCCAATGTAATAATAGAAATAAAGTGCATAATAACATTTCTGTACTTGAACCATCCCCCCTGCCATCCGTGTTTTCCACGAAACCGGTCCCTGATGCCAAAAAGGTTAAGGACTGCTGCCTTACAGGACAGACCGGTTTCAGTGAAGGAAAGACTGTGGAGGGAATGTTGGAGAGGAGGTTGAGATTATTGGGTCATTGGAGTAAGAACTATAGGGTTCTAGAATGGAAAGTTTGGTAGGCAGGCTAGAAGTGCTGAGACTGGATAAATAAGAAGATATTCAGAGCCACAGCAGGTGATAATTTGGTAGGTAGTAGGCATTTGGAGTGTGGGATATAGGACTTACCTGTGTAGTTTTCCAGGATTATGTTGAATTTGCTGCAAATAACTTAAGTACTGGTAGTAGTACAGTAGATTGTTTCAATTCAAGAACCACAGGGCTTGAAGGGACCTTGATATGTTAATAGTCAAACTTTTTCTTTCCAAGCAAATTCATAGTTATTGCTTTCTGTCATCCAAGAGGAATTTTTCACTTGGATGGTGAAGAATTGAACTTGTATACGGCTGGTCTTTGAATTTTATTTAGTGTCTTCTTTTCATTCCTGTACTAAATCTGTGCTAATCTCAATTCTCTATTCAGAGAGTAATGAATAATTTAGAATGTCATATGTAACTTTTATTTTTATTTTGTTTGGTTGTATAATTTTCTTGAACCATTTCAAAAATAAAAATGTCCATAATTATGCTAGCAGGTTGTTAACTTTGCTGTCACAGAGTAATCAGCAGGAGTTCAATACTCATTGAGCTTTTCAGAATCAAAACTTTCCCTTTTTAACAATAGCAAGAGTTTCTGCATGTGGTTTTCGTTTGGGTTGTTTGCCTAAATTATGTCAGTTAGCTAGAGTTGAAATATAAAAAGAGCATGATAAAAAATAGTATGAATGAGTAATTTTAATGAGGTTTGCCAACAGTATTGGATGTATGTTTTTCATTGCTTGTTTTATGTGTTTTTTAAATGTTGGCTACATAAACATTTCTCGGGATTTAATATCAGATTCTGCTTATTTGCTGTAAATTTCCAGCAACTTTTCATGCTGAGGTTATTTATGATGTCAAATGAGAAAAATCAGCTTCCTGCAGTTTTAATGCCAAATGTGTCTTTGGAAAGCTACCATGTAATTTCCTCTCTGTTTGAACATTTTGGTTTTTAGGGAGCTGAAAATTGCTTGGAAGGCCTTACATTTGTAATCACAGGAGTGCTGGAGTCTATTGAACGGGATGAGGCCAAATCTCTAATTGAACGTTATGGGGGTAAAGTAACAGGAAATGTCAGCAAAAAAACAAACTACCTTGTCATGGGCCGTGATAGCGGGCAGTCCAAGAGTGATAAGGTGGGTACTGCTGTGTTCTCAGCACAGTGACACAGCCTGCTGGCCACAGCATTCTCTTGATATGATCATTTGAAGCGTTGCCCTTTACTTAGAGCTAAGTGAAGAAAAAAATGGAAAAGCAATTTCTTCTCTAAATTATTTCTTCTCCACGGAAGTTTGTTGGTTTTGACCTCACGATTTTGGTTTTCCAATTGAAGGCACAGTTCCTGTTTACTTGACTTTTCTAGTGTGTTATAGTTTAAATCTTTTTTTTGAAATAGAAGCAAATGCAGTTTTCCTTTTCTTCTAGTCCTACATATTCCTATATATGCTGCTATGTTCTCCATTTCAGTTTTTTTATTGGATGCTCTTAGGGGAAGAATCAGGGTCTGTCAGGTAGAATTGTGTTTTAAGTAATAGAATACCAGGCTAACTGTGTTTTAACAAACAGCTGCTTATTTTCCTCACCTAATGAGAATTCCAGAGGTGGGTAGTTGCTGGGGGTGAGTCATCAGCTCAGTGAGATCGTTCCTTTACCTCTGTCACCCTTATTGTGTTAACTTTTGTCCTTATATATGTTGCCTTCCTGTGACAAGATAGCAGTAGCTCCAGGAAGTCAGGTCTGCATTCAAAGTAGGAAAAGAGGAGGAGGGGCAAGATGTCATAATAGCTGTGACTGACCTGGCAAGTTTCTCCTGAGATACCTCTGGTAGAATTCCACTGGTCTCATTGGCCAGGGCTGTCACATGGCCGTTCAGAGCTGTAAGGGCGGACTTTTCTGATTGCCTTAGACCAGTCATAATCCATCACTTAGAGACGAACTCATTGGAGTTCTGGTAGGGCAGAAGGTGGTGGAAATGTCTTCCACATGAGTCAGACATGGGAGGGGGTGTGAAGAGCTAGACTCAGGTCCTGGTGGCTCTGCCCCTTCTAGGGGAGGAGAGGCAAAGTAGTCCACAGAGTAGAGGGGTGACTTCGGGCACCAGCCCACTCCTCTTGGAGGGTGTATCTGTTATGTTCTTTCTTTTTAATGGTACTTTTCCAATGAATGTGGTGTTTTTTGGTTTATTTGAATTCCAGTGTTACCTAATTTACAAAAGTGATTTTTCACTTAATAATAGGCCCTAGAATCTTTTTTACAGAATGGTTAGGGTGCAGTTTTAATGATTTTCATTTTTAATCAACAGGCAGCAGCCTTGGGAACAAAAATTATTGATGAAGATGGCCTATTAAATCTGATTCGAACTATGCCAGGCAAGAAGTCCAAGTATGAAATAGCAGTTGAAGCCGAGGTCTGTATAAAATGAACTTCATTTAATGGTCAGCTTAAATGTTGATGCATAGCAACTTCTTTATTTTATAGAGACATATCTTGGGTGGATATAGGCCTGTTGGTTGAAAGGTTAACCTTTGTTTCTACCACAAAATACCTTATTTGCTTTTGAGCTGGAGAACTCTGCTTTAGGATGTTGACTTTGGTATATTTCTGTATCTTTCTCAAAGGGATATGAGGAGAAAGAGAGGACAGTGAATTGCATGTAACATATCTACTTATTAACCTGTCCTTATTTGCTACATTTTCATTTTGTTTGTTTTTTTTGAGTTGAGGTCTCACTCTGTTGCCTAGGCAGGAGTATAGTGTCATGATCATGGCTCACTGCAGCCTTGGCATCCTGGGCTCAGATGGTTCTTCTGTCTCAACCTCCTAAGTAGATGGGACTACAGGTGTGTACCACCACCATGCCCAGCTAAGTTTTTGATTTTTTGTAGAGATGAGGTCTTGCTATGTTGCCTTGGCTGGTCTCAAACTCCTGGGCTCAAGTGATTCTCCCATCTCAGTCTCCCAAGTGCTGGCATTACAGGTGTGAACCACTGAGCCTGACCTAAGGTTATTGTTTAAGAGTTCCTTAAAGGATATGTTAATAGGTATCAGCATGACATGTTCATTTTCTTTTTTCTTTTTTTTTTTGAGTTGGAGTCTTACTCCGTCGCCCAGACTGGAGTGTTGTGGCACACTCACGACCTGCTGGGTTCCAGCGATCCTTCCATCTCAGCCTTCCAAGTAGCTAGAACAACAGGCGAGCACTACCACACCCGGCTAATTTATTTAAATTTTATTTTATTGTAGAGACAAGGTTTGACCAAGTTGCCCAGGCTGGTCTCGAACCCACAGGCTCAGGCAAGCCACTTGCCTCGGCCTCCCAAGGTGCTGGGATTACAGGGTGAGCCACCGAGCCCTACCAACATGTTAATTTTCAGTGAGAACTATTTTAAGACTTTTTTAGTTGTGATGGAAACCCAGTCTGTATTAGCTTTAGCAAAAAGAGAAACATGTTGGCTCATACAACTAAACTATGGGCAGGATGGGTCTGTTCTAGGAGCTACTGGATCCTAGAGACTACAATACTTTGAGGACCCTTTTACTTTCTTTCTGTTTCTCCTAGTGTTAGCCTCATTTATTCCCACTATATATCAGCCTTTTCCATGTGTAGGACACAGGAGTGCCAGCATCCCAGGATTAGTGTCTCCAGCTGTGTCACTCAAATGGCAAGGTGGTTCATCCAGTTTATTCCAGTTAGAGAAATCTGGGGAATGATTTGGATTTCATAGCCATAGCATAGTTACAAAAAACAGGAAATTAATATTGATAACATATTGTTAATTAAACTACACATATTTGAACTTCTCATTTTCCTCTGTCGTCCTTTTTCTGTTCCACCATCCCACACTGCATTTAGTTGTTGCTTCATCTTAGTCTCCACCAGACTATGGCAGTTCTTCAGTCTCCGTGTCTTATGTCCTTGACACACTTTTGATGAGTACCCCCATTAGTTGTTTTGTAGAATGTCTTTTGCTTTGGGTCTGTGGTGTTTTCTCATGATTAGATTGAACTTACACATTTTTGGCAAGAACACCACAGAAGTGATATTGTGCCCTTTTTAGTACTTCATATTATATGTACATGATGTCAGTGTCTTATTGGTGATGATGACCTTGATTATTTGGTTAAGATGATATCTGCCAGGTTTCTCCACTAGTAAAGTGACTATTTTCCCTTTGTAATTGATAACTATCTTGGAGATACTTTAAGACTATGCTAATATCCTGCTTTATCTTAAGTATTCATCCACTAATTTTAGCATCCATTGGTAAAAAGGTACTAACTTTAAAAAAAGATATGAGATATTATTTACTTTCATAAAATTCATCTTTTTAAAGTGCACAAGTCAGTGGTATATTTTGGTATATTAACAAGTGTGTGCAACTGTAACACCATGTAATTCCAGAACATTTTCATCACCCCCAAAAAAGAATCTCTGTACCTGTTATCGGTCACTCAGTATACCCACGCACTGGCAGTCACTGCTCTACTTTCTGTTTCTATGGATGTGCCCATTCTGGACATTTCATATGAATGGAGTCATACAACATGTGGCCTTTTGTGTCTAGCTTCTTTCACATATATTGGTACTTCACTCCTTGTTATGAGAGAATTATGTTCCATTGTGTGAATTTACCACATTTTGTTTATCCGCTTTTGAGGTGGTGGGCATTTGGATTGTTTCCATCTTTGGGCTATTTTATATATATATATAATTATATATATATGAAATGCTGCTGTGAATATTTATACATACGTTTTTGTAGAGATATTAACTTTTAACTAGTCAGGAAACTTTGAAACAAAAAAATCTAACTCTTTACCCTTTTTTCCTAAATAAAATTGGCCAGGCTCGGTGGCTCAGCCTGTAATCCCGCGCCTTTGGGAGGCTGAGGTGAGTAGATTGCCTGAGCCCGCGGGTTCGAGACCCACCTGGGCAGCGAGACCTCATCTCTACAATAAATCAAAAAATCAGCCGGGCGTGGTAGCGCATGCCTGTAATTCTGGCTACTTAGAAGGCTGAGGCGGAAGGATCACCAGAGCCCAGCAGGTCGAGGTTGCGGTGGCCGGGAGCGGCCACTGCACTCCAGTCTGGGTGACAGAGTGAGACTCCGACTCAAAAAAAACAAAAAAAAAATTGGAATACTTGCTAATTTACAAAAGCCATATGTTTTCATTTTTAAAAATTGCATTTGGGGGCTTTTCAGTGTTTTTGTTGCTAATTTTCATAGTTTGGAAGGTGGTGATTTCTACAGACAGCCTGCCATCGTGAGTAGCTCACTTGGGTTCCTCAGATTGCTTGCTGTAGTACATTTAGCAGGATAGACATTCTGTGTGTCTCATCATGCTTCTTTTTTCCTCATTTTTCCACTCTTTCAGATGAAGAAAGAAAAGTCCAAATTAGAAAGAACGCCCCCAAAAAAGGCCCAAGGAAAAAGAACAATTAGTCCAACCAAAAAGGACTCGGAATCTAAAAAGAGTAAGCTGATTCCCAGGAGGGACAGTTCTCTAAAGCCAGCCAACAAGGAAGCAGGTGTGTTTCGGAAAGGCCTAGGCTTCCAGGAGCAGGTGGCTGAGGAGACAGGTGGTAACAGCAAGTCTAGGAATTTGCCTGATGACAGCAGTGAAAGCAAAGTGGAAGATTTGCTCTGGGTGGACAAATACAAGCCAACCTCACTCAAGACCATCATTGGGCAGCAAGGTGACCAGAGCTGTGCCAACAGACTCCTACGCTGGCTCCGAAACTGGCCCAAGAGTTCTTCCGAGGAGAAAAAACACGGTGATTGTACAGCCTCCCTCATTGTGTGTTTCTGCCAACATGTGATTGTCCAGTTATACACACGTGAGAAAGTCTGTGTCTGTTGGTTGGCTCTTTAATCCATCAACAAGCATTTACTGAGGCTCGGTCTGAGCCCAAGTGTTGTACTAGCCCTAGTGTTGTACTAGGTGAGGGTGTTGGGGACAAAACACAGGCGCTCCCAGGCAGTGGGAGACATATCTGAACCAGCCACTAAGGTGTGTTGTGCCAAGTGTGCCTGTGGGCATGAGTCCTGGGCACTGTGGGTGGAGGCGTGTGGGGGATGTGTGCTCCTTTCCTTGGAGAAAGGATGGCTCAGCTGAGACTTGGAGACCAAGTAGGAGGTGGCTAGGGGAAAGGGAGGGATGGGTGTTGGGTGGAAAAGTGCAGGTCTCAAGGCCTGGAGAATGTGAGAGCAAGACCTCTGAGCGTGATTAAGCAGCTGTGGCCTATCTCAGGGCAGGCGGCCTCAAATCCCAGCAGCACATATGGTTTGCTTTTGGCTGGCCTGATAGGCATGTGCTTCCAGTTTCTGTGTTTGTTTACTATGTATTTGTCATGGAAAATGAAAAGTCAAAATATATATTTCATGTCCTAAGTATTTTTGGAGTTGAGGTTTTGGATCACAAATGTTAGTAGTCTTTTTTTGTGACAGCATCTCGGTGTTGCCCAAGCTGGATGACAGTGGTGTGATAATAGTTCACTGCAACCTTGAATTTCTAGGCTCAAGTGATCCTCCTGCCTCAGCCTCCTGAGTAGCTGGAGTGCGCACCACATACCTGGCAGATGTTTAAATTTTTCATAGAAATGGGGTCTTTCTGTGTTGCCCAAGCTGGTCTTGAACTCCTGGCCTCAAGTTATCCTTCTGCGTCAGCCTCCCAAAGTTGAGATTATTGGCGTGAGCCACCACATCCAGGCATGAGTAGTGTTTTCTTACGTTTCAACTGCAGCCCTAGACGATAGTGTGTGAGAAATAAGAAGATAGGCCGGGTGATGGTTACTTACTTTAGTGTAATCCTAGCACTTTGGGAGGCCAGTGTGGGAGGATTGCATAAGCCCAGGAACTGTAGACCAGCCTGGGCAATATAGTGAGGTCCTGTCTCTATTAAAAACAAAATATATAGAAATAGCCTTGTGTTTGAAAAAAGAGGTAAAAAGATAAAGTGCAGTGAGCATCACAATGAGGCCCCCGAGTAATGACTGGTTAACATTGCTGATGATACTGGCTTTCTTCATTTATAACAGCTAGGTATTATAATTGTAATGATACAGGACTCAGTTTATGTTGAATCCTTTTCCCATTCTGAATCCACATAAAAATCTACCTTAAAAAGAGAGACAGGTGTTTTGACTTTCTTAAAGCTTCAGTGAACTGTAGTCCCTTTCTTTCCCATGCCTGTCTGCGTTACTGGGTCTGAAATGAGCAGAATTCGTGTGCCAGGCATTATGTAGTGAGAGGAGGAAGAGTGCTTATTATTGAGTGGTGCAAAGTAGTTGTAGATGCAGCTACAATTCATGATTTCCTTCTGTGGTCACGTAGCTACTGTGCTTGTTCACATTTGTTGAGGCATGCCAGACTCTGTTCTGTGCTCAGCACTTCCGTCCTCACAGAACTCCTACCGGCGACTTTGCTGTGTGCTCATTTCACTAAGGAGGAGAAGGCCTCACAGGGGGGTTAAGTCACTTCCAAAGTACCCCCTGCTTGCAGGAGGGGGCGCTCGGACAGATGGAATTAGTGTGGGGGCCCAGGCAGTGTGCTCCACGGCCTGAGTGTTTGCAGGAAAGAAAAGTTATATTATTATTTCAAAGTGATTTCGTTTTAGTTTTTATTTGGAATGGAGGTGAGGCAGGGAGTAGCATTTCACTAAATGCTCTGAAATTGTTGTTTATACTTGGTTGAAAATATTCTGCAAGTTTAGAACTAACCTCGGAGACGACTGTCTAGATGCATGCAGTTTACGTGCATGATTCTTGCTGTTACTGAATATTCATTAGGTGATGCAGACTAATACTCTCAAACTTCTCTTTTTCTAGCTGCAAAGTTTGGTAAATTTGCCGGCAAAGATGATGGCTCTAGTTTTAAAGCAGCGTTGCTGTCAGGCCCCCCGGGTGTTGGCAAAACTACCACAGTGTCCCTGGTGTGTCAGGTGCGTATCCTGTCGTGCATGGTTAGATACCCTTGGGGTGGTCATGGGTAGGAAGTGAATGCGTGCCTATGTGCGAGTGTGCATGTGGCATGTGTTTACTTTTCCAAAATAAAATCTTTGGAATCTGTTGTGATTCTTTTTAATATTGGTAATTATAATAATAATAGGCAATAGTTACCTGTGAGCCAGGCAATGTGCTAAGCTTTGGGTGCATTATCTTATAGATAATAGAAACATGTTATAGATCCTGAAAGATACAGATGTCTTAGATCCCCTTGTAATAATTCTGTGTACTGAATTCTGTGTATTAAATACATGTGCTGTTGTCCACCCACATGTGATAAGTGAAACAGGCTTAGACAGGAAGGTCATGGCCCAGTTTAAACCCAGGTAATCTGTCTTGGGGTTCTGCTCCTCACCATGTGTGTCCTGCCTCTCTTCCTGTCCCTGTCACTGCTGCATCTTGACAGGGAGAGGATTTGATTTGCCCAGGTGCTAGAGCAGACTAGAGCTCGTGTGTTGATGTCAGGAGGAGAAGAGATCAGATGTTGATAGCTGGATCTCCCCAGCCTCTGCCACAGAAGTTTCTTTTGGTCTCTGTTGTATGAATCAGCCCATAAGATTTAACTATAAAGGCTTATCTGTTTTCACTGTATTTATAAACTTTTTTTTAGAAAGGAAAAACAAGTCCTTACAATGTGAACATGACTTTTTTCTCCCTCTATTATTACTGCTACTACTTTTTTGAGAGTTGAATTAAAGCATTTTACAAGCAGATGAGTTCTGGGAAATGAATTAGAATAACTTGAATTTTCCTGATTTGAAAGGAAAATTGTTTGTTGGAATAGTTTGACAAAGAATGATTTAACTTTACAATTTTTTGTAAAGATAATGACTTTTTGGTATATTATAATTAATTATGTACCTGATATTGAATTCTTGGGATGATTATATTTAATCCTATTTTAGAACTTGAAGAAGTAAAACTTAGGGCCAGTCGCGGTGACTCATGCCTGAAATCCCAGCACTTTGGGAGGCTGAGGCGAGAGGATTGCCTGAGACCAGCCTGGGCAACTTGGTGAAACATTATCTCTACAATAAATCAAAAAATTAGCTGGGCATGGTGGCATGTGCCTGTAGTTTCAGCTAGTTGGAAGACTGAGACGGAAGGATTGCCTTAGCCCAGCAGTTGAGGCTGCGGCGGCCATGAGCATGCCACTGCATTCCAACCTGGGTGACAGAGTGAGACTCCAACTTAAAAAAAAAATAAAAATAAAAAGAAGTAAACCTTAAAATTGCTTCTTTAGCTAGGTTCGGTGGCTCAGCCTGTAATCTCGTGCCTTTGGGAGGCTGAGGTGAGTGAATTGCCTGAGCCCGCAGGTTCGAGACCCGCCTGGGCAGCGAGACCTCATTCTACAATAAGTCAAAAAATCAGCTGGGCATGGTAGCGTATGCCTGTAATTCCAGCTACTTGGAAGGCTGAGGCGGAAGGATCGCCGGAGCCCAGCAGGTCGAGGCTGCGGTGGCCAGGAGCGGCCACTGCACTCCAGTCTGGGCGACAGAGTGAGACTCCAACTCAAAAAAAAAAAAGAAAAAATTGCTTCTTCAGATATACTCTTCCAGACTTGTGTTTTTTTGGCTAAGGTGTTAAAAGACTAAACTTGTGTGTATATGTTTTTTTGTCTCTGTTTTATTTTTGTATTGAGTTGGAGTCTCCCTCTATCACCCAGGCTGGAGTGTGGTGGCATGCTCATGGCTGCTGCAACCCCAACCGGCTGGGCTCAGGTGATCCTTCTGCCCCGACCTTCCAAGTAGCTGGAATCACAGGCGCTTACCACCATGCCTGGCTAATTTTTTGATGTGTTGTAGAGATAAGACCTTGCCAAGTTGCCCAGGCTGATCTCAAGTCCCTGGGCTTAGGCAATCCTCTCGCCTCCACCTCCCAAAGTTCTGAGGTTACAGGTGTGAGCCACTGTGCCTGGCTTTGTGTGTGCTTGTATGTGTGTGTTGTATTTACATGATATTCTAAAATTTTCTAATATTGCAAGGCATATTATATAGTTCATCTCATGTCTGTTGTATCATACTTGTATTATTACCTGTGGTTTCTTTCATAACTTACCTTTTTGGGGGTGGCAGAGTTCATTTGTATTGTGATAGTAGTGGTTTCCAATATTTGATTAGGAATTGGGCTACAGCTACGTGGAACTGAATGCAAGTGACACTCGCAGTAAGAACAGTTTGAAGGCAATTGTTGCTGAGTCACTCAACAATACCAGCATCCAAGGCTTTTATTCAAGTATGTGACTTTTTGAACTGTTTCTTGTCATTTTCTTATAAGAAAAACATGTTCATGTTGATGTTCAGTAACCAGTATTGAACACAACTACGTGCCAAGCCCACTGCTAAATCCCGGGGCTAGTGAGAGACTCCAAAAGGTCTCTGACATAACTCTTATGGGCATTGCTTGCTCTTTTTTTAGGCCTTTGGGGTTTCTAAGAATGTGATAAAAATGTGTATGTGCACATATTTATGCATTTTGCATATGGTTTGAGAGGATTTACAGGTGAAGCCTGCGAAGAGGGAAAGAAGATAAATAACTGTACTGGTGTGATGAGTGAGGTCATAAGGACTGTAGATGAAGGAGTAATTTTGTTTGGGTTTTGGAGTAAAAGGGTGATAGTTGTTTTGAAAGGCCTCAAAGGATGAGAAAAGAGAACCATGAGGAGGTGGATGAGCTTTTCTCAGGTGAAGGTAGTAGAGAGAAGAGACTGTGAATGTGCTCACCTTGGCAGGTTATAGCCAGTGATCCCATGCAGCCAGAGGTCATGGGAAGAAGAGGCCCGAGATGAGGCCCACACAGTGCCTGCATAGAGTCCGTGGTGTGTTGCTTTGTCACCTGAACTCTTGGTGCTTCCAATGGTAGAAAATTGTTGTTCTGATGAAGTTACAGGGGACATGCTGCTCTAACCTGTGGCTGGTGGGAGTGTGACTTGGCACAACTTTGGAGAGAGTCTGGCAGGCTTTCTCCAAGTTATATTACATATACCCTTAACTCAAACATCCTAATTCCTGGAGCTTAGCTATTATTATATTTGTATAATATATGTGCAGAAAGACATAGGATGTTCATTTAGTATGACTTATAAGAGCAAAAACTTAGAAGCATCCTAATACTTCATTAATAGTGATTACTAAATTAGTCAATTGTGATACATGTGTAGAATGGAATATTAAATTGCCTTAAAAAACGAAGTGTTCTGTATCTACAGATCAAGAATAAGTCACCAAAATATATTAAATGACAAAACGAAGGTGTATATTTTTATGCACACATGTTTTTAATAATATATAGAGAGTATTTCTTAAAGGATGTGCAAGAGACTATCGTTTGCCTCTGGGAAGGGAAACTGCGTCCGCAGGGGAGGGGCTGGGAGGGGGAGTTTCTTCTCGTTGCAAACCCTTGTCACTTTTGCCATTTAATGTTTGTTATGTGATTTTCCATAAAGCAGCAGTTTTTGAGCACTTGCTGTTTTATTTTTGTCCTGTCCTATTGCTCGTGTGCCTGGGCCAGGTGGAGCAGGTTCTTCAGGAAGCATGAAACACGCGCTCGTCATGGATGAAGTAGATGGCATGGCGGGCAATGAGGACAGGGGAGGAATTCAGGTAATGAAAGTGCGGTGTTTTTGCAGTTTTACTGTTGGTTTTTAAATATTTAAAGCATTTAATGATCATGTGCTGATATCGAGGGCGATTAAGTCATGTGCTGAAGAGGTTTTGAAACCTAAAATATATTGTGGGTATTTGTTATATTTTAAATAATTATTTTTGTGTTGCATATTTGCCTTTCAGGAATTAATTGGCCTGATAAAACATACTAAAATTCCTATTATTTGTATGTGCAACGATAGAAATCATCCCAAGATTCGCGCTTTGGTTCATTATTGTTTTGATCTTCGATTTCAAAGACCTCGAGTTGAACAGATTAAGGTATAATGATTGATTTTTTTTTTTTTTACCATCACACTATTTTATTTATTTAAGGGTCAGTTTTTTTTAAGTATCTGATAAAAACTTTTTAAATATCTGATTATATGAGTGTTTTTTTTTAATCATTGAAGAATCCTCACCTTGTCAATTTCAGGGTGCTATGATGTCTATTGCATTCAAAGAGGGTTTAAAGATTCCCCCTCCTGCTATGAATGAAATAATTTTGGGAGCCAATCAGGATATCAGACAGGTAAATTAACTATGTTATGTGACAATTGATGATTATTTTGAATTAATGCCTTCAGCAATACAGGGAGGGTGAGTGGCCATATTTTTCCATCTTGACGTTGATTTATCTGTGATTCTTTTAGGTTTTACATAATCTGAGTATGTGGTGTGCACGAAGTAAGGCATTAACCTATGACCAGGCCAAGGCAGATTCTCACAGGGCCAAAAAGGACATCAAACTGGTAAAATAAATCTCCATTTTTAATTTTCTTTCCCAAACCAAGACACTCTTGTTCTGTAGCTTAGTAGAAACAGTCATAGTGTTTATAATAAGAGCTGTAGACAGCTGCCTAAAGTGTTTCTAATTCACATGAATTTCTTCTCAAAGGTGTCAATGTATATTATCAATTTTGAGAAAGGGATGAGTTTTAAATTATACTCATGCTTTAACAGTTATAAAGTGACTTTTCTACAGTTTCTTATCTTTTGGTTAATGTTTTGAATGTTCAGAATAATCTGTTTCCAATGGTTTAGTTCAGTAATCTCTCTGAAACTAGAAGTCTATATCAATGACCTGTGTTCCATTTTACCTAATCATTGTCAGAATTTATGATTATAATTAGAGCAATGATTAAGCAGTGTTTTTTAAAAATTCATACAGCTTATTTTTTAGAGTAGTTTTAGACTGATAGCAAAATTGAGTGTAAGTACAGAGAGTTCCTATCTGCCTTCTTCCCCTCCACATGCACAGCCTCTCCTGCTGTCAGCATCCTGCCCTGTTACACTCAGTGCACCTACACTGACATGTCATTGTCACCCTAAGCCCAGCGTTTACATCAGGGCTCACTCTTGGTGACATACCTTCTGTGGGTTATGCATCCCCCATTCTAGTACGATACAGATCAGTTTTGTTGCCCTGAACTCCCCTTTGCTTCGTCTATTCTTCCCTCTTTCCCTCTTTGCCTCTGGCAACCACTGATCTTTTAATTGTCTCCATATCGTGCCTTTTCCAGAATGTCATTTAGTTGGAATCATTAGTACGTAGCCTTTTCAGATTGGCTTCTTTCTTTTAGTCATATGCATTTAAGGTTCCTCCATGTCTATTCATGGCTTGGTAGCACATTTCTTTTTATTGTTGAGTAATACTCCATGACTGGATGTGCCACAGTTTGTCCATTCACCTACTGAAGAACATCTTGGTTGCTTCCAACTTTCGGCAATTATGAGTAAAGCTGCTATAAAATCTGTTTGCAGGTTTTTGGGTAGACATGGTTTTTAATTCATTTGAGTAAATACCACGGAGCATGATTGCTGGATCACATGGTAAGAGTATGTTTAGTTTTGTAAGAAGCTGCCTGTCTTCCAGAGTAGCTGTGCTGTTTTGCATTCCCACCAGTAATGAATGAGAGCTCCTGTGCTCCCCGTCCTCACCAGCATTTGATGTTATCAGTGTTTTGGATTTGGCCATTCTAATATGTGTGTCCCTCCCTCACATTTTTAGGGCCCATTTGATGTAGCCCGGAAAGTGTTTGCAGCTGGAGAGGAGACTGCTCATATGTCACTTGTGGACAAATCAGATCTCTTTTTTCATGATTATTCAATAGCACCCCTCTTTGTCCAGGAGAACTACATACATGTAAAGCCTGCGGCTGCAGGGTCAGTGTTCAGAGCTAGTGAGGGGTAGGGCTAGTACCCTCTCAGCCCCTGCAGGGGCCAGATGCTGGGGAGGGAGGGAAGGGCCTGAGAGTGGGTCATGGTGTAATCCAGGCTGGTTCTTTCCTGCAGGGGTGACATGAAAAAGCACTTGATGCTTTTAAGCCGAGCAGCGGATAGCATATGTGATGGGGACTTAGTAGACAGTCAGATCCGGAGTAAGCAAAACTGGAGTCTTCTGCCCACTCAGGTAAGCATGGGACTCTCTTTAATAAAGTGCAGACTCTTCCTTGGTTAGAGAAAAATAAATAGCTTTTAGTTCCTTATTTGAAATTTGAGATAAACAGTATGGCTCTTGTGGCAAAAAAATCTATTACAGATTCAAGTACTTTGTGGCCACTATTGTTTGTTACTTAATCTGGCATTATTTTTCAGTGTTTCAAAAATGTTTTTATGTAAATAGACACATGGAAATAGGAAGGTTAGATTTTGGATATAATTAAGATGTGAATCAAAAGTTTCGTTTGCTCTGTTTTACCTTAAGAATCCATTTTTTTGGTGGGTTATTCTTGACTCTTTCAGATGGGCACTTGAAGAAACGCAGCCAGAGCAAGCCAGCAGTCATGTCTCTGGTACATGAATTGTGATTTTCTTCTTCCTTGCTATAAAGAGGCAGCATTACCTTGAGTTCAGTCTTTAGGTTAATATCTTTAACTAAAGGCAGAGTTGGGTAAGCATTCATAATTAAGAGTGCTATTTGTTCTTTGAATTTTGTATATTTACCCAGGATTATTGGCCTGAGTAATGAGCCAAGGACTTCCAGAGGGCATGTCCTTCTCTTAATTCTTCCCACGCAGTGCTTGAAAACAAAATCAAAAATTCATTCTGGAATGATATACAGATTCCTTTCTCTTAAGCTTAAGAGTTTTTATCTTTCTTTATTTAAAAATTATACTTGGAGAATTTATCCTCAATAAATAATTTTAAACACAGGAAGACTTAATGTACAAAAATATTTCCTAAAGCATTACTTCTGATAGCAGAAAATTAGAGAAAATCTCCATGTCCAGCAACAGGAGAATGACTAACTATGGTAAATCCTCTTGATGAAATATTATACAGCCTTTAACATTATTTGTAAAGATTGTTAATATGAAAATGCTTATGAGTGAATATTACTAGAATAAAGCATGAGCAGAGTACAAAATTTATGTAGAATGTAATTCTACCTTTAAAAATGAAAATCCAGAACATAGAAGACATCTAAATATACATTTTTTACTTGTCAGTTTAATTGATTCTGTATTAGACTTTCCATGCCTTAATCTGTCTGTGTTGTTAGTCGCACAAGTTACAGGCGATTATATTCCTCTCTAGCTCATAGTTTGCCATGACGTTGGCATTCGTGAGGAAGCTGGTATGTTGAGGTCGGCGGCTTAGGAGGTGGAGTTGCAAGGTGGTCTCTGAGGGCTATAACATGTTTGGATCAAGGTGTATACTGCAGTCTGTTGCTTTTTCTGGAAGAAGTTTCCCATACCAACAGATCAGAGATGGGAAAAGGGCCCAGCTACCCTGCAAGTGGGTCCGGGACAGTGTGGCTTCGTTTTCCACAGACTCCTTGGCAACCAACAGCTGCTAAGGAAGAAGCTTTGTACCGAGTATAAACTCTGGACTGCAATTGATTTTTCTAGGCCATTTATGCCAGTGTTCTTCCTGGGGAGCTGATGAGGGGCCACATGACCCAGTTTCCCACCTTCCCGAGCTGGCTGGGGAAGCACTCGTCCACAGGAAAGCATGACCGTATTGTTCAGGACCTGGCATTGCATATGAGTCTCCGGTAGGTGGGATTACTCCATTCGGCCATTTTATTGGTGTGGCGTGTTTAGCCTTTATCCAGTGAGGATCCCATGAGTCAAAAGATTTGTGTTTGAGTTTTGGTTTGATTGCTAACAAGATAAATGATCCGGATAAGTTCCTTCTATTTTGTGGGCCTGAGTTTATCATCTGTAATCAGTATAACACTTGCTTTACCATTTAGAAGGATACTTTGGAGAATAAAATCAGATAGTAGATGTCATAATTTAATTGTTAAAGACTAAGTCTGAGATAATGCTATTACTTATTGCTTATTGTTATTTTGATTGAGTCTGTTACTAGTGCAATAACTACTCAGCTTCAGAATAACTTAAAGGGAAAAAAAATCAACTATTTAAAAAATGAACTAGTTTTGTTCTATTCTAGTAGTAAACTGATCTGGCCTTTGAGGGCAGGGGATGCAGCCACTTGGATGACTGAAAACTAGTGTGCTTGGAAAAGCTAAGGAAGCTCACAGATACTTGTATTTGATTCACTTTGTTAAAGCTTAGAAACTTGGAAAATGTGCATCTGCACAAATATTAAGTGAACTTCAGGGGTTCATTTTTAACCCTGAAGAGCTACTGGAGCAATCATTTTTTATTTTATTTTTATTTTAAAGATGTGGGGCACAATTCAGGGTTAGGTATACACATGTTCCTTATGCAGGTACCCTTTTGGATGCGGTGTGCCTCCCCCCCCGGCAGTTTCCCACTACTGCCAATCCCTTTCTTATAGTATTTTGATAATTATTCAAGGTCTGCTTATGAGTGAGAACATGTGGTACTCAGTTCTTTGTATCTGTGATAGATTACTGAGTAGGATCGACTCTAAGTCCATCCAAGTTGCTGTGAAGTACTGGAGCAACCTTAACCTCCTGGTCTCTGGAGGTGTAGTACTAATGTTTGATCCTTTTAATTGGAGCTGAACTGAGCTGGTTCCTTTTTCTGTCGATTCTGCCTCCTACTAGGCTCCCTCTTCCTCGCCTATTTCATGAGTCTTTTTGGCCACTCATATTCATTTTCTTTTGCTGCTGTAATAAATTACCACTAATATAATGACTTAAAACAACACAAATTTGTTGTCATCCTGAACTGGAAAATTTCCCTGATTATCTGGGTGGGCCCAGCGTAATTACAGGGTTCTTCACAAAAGGGAGGCAGCAGTGTCAGAGTCGGAAAGAGATGTGACGATCTACCTGCTGGCTTTGCTTATGGAGAAGGGGTGGGCGGCCCCTGAACTGGAATGTTCCTGCCAAGCTGTTGTGCTGCTCATTGCCAGGCCATGGTCCTGCTCCCTGCCTGCCGTCCTTAAAGGACCTTTGTCACTCTGCCTGGGGTGCCCCTCTTGGAAGCTTCCACTGCACTCTGTGTAGATTTTGGGCCTCAGACTTCGGGCTTTTCCATGGCTGTCCTTTTTATGTCTGTCTCCTTCCCCCATTAGACCACACGTTTCTAGGGGCAGGAGCTGAGGCTTACTCACCTAGCATATCAGGCTGCTCAGTACATATTTGTTTTTAAATGAATCACATACAGGATGTTCCTATCAGGAAGGGGTTTTAGAGTGAGTGTCATGATTTTTCAAGTAAGTTAAGACCTTCCTACTTAACTTTTTAATCTTGATCAAGTCACTGAACTTTGATAGGCCTTAGTTTCTCTTCATCTTTAAAAAATGGAAGTGCAAGCCGGGCTCAGTGGCTCAGCCTGTAATCCTGTGCCTTGGGAGGCTGAGGTGAGTGGATTGCCTGAGCCCGTGGGTTCAAGACCCGCTTGGCGAGACCTCATCTCTACAATAAATAAAAAAATTAGCTGGGCATGGTAGCGTGTGCCTGTAGTTCCAGCTACTTGGAAGGCTGAGGCAGAAGGATCGCCGGAGCCCCAGCAGGGCGAGGCTGCGGTGGCTGGAAGCGGCCACTGCACTCTAATCTGGGCGACAGAGTGAGACTCCAACTCAAAAAAAAAAAAAAAATGGAAGTGCAGTTTTATTATTAGTTTTTAACCTTTTTTTGGATCATAAATGTCTTTGAGAATCTAAAAGCTTTGATCTTTATTTCCCTACAATGCACAGATGGATTAATTGATTTTAGAGGAATTATAGAACCCTTGAAAAATAACGACTTCTCTTGAAGTAGTGGTGTGCTTGATTTTGGAAGACGTAAGCTGTAGGAAATTGATGAGATTAAACTAGAGGTTTTTTTTTTTTAACTTTTTGCCTACATAATAAAAGAGTTGTGGGGGCAAGGTTCTAGATTTCTGATTAGGAGAACTATGTGGCTTCTGTGTGGTTCAGACATTTAGTTACCTGGAAGCAGGAGCAGGACCCATAGGTATTGTTTTGTTTTGAGTTGGGGTCTCTGTTACCTAGGCTGGAGTGCAGTGACACATGAGACTCACTGCAGCCTCGACCTCCCAGGCTCAGGCAATCCTTCCACCTCAGCTCCCCAAGTAGCTGGGACTACAGGTGTGCACCACCACGCCTGGCTAATTTTTTTATTTTTTGCAGACAAGGTCTTGCTATGTTGCTTAGGATGATCTTGAACTCCTGGGCTTAAGCAGTTCTTCTGCCTCAGCCTCCCAAAGTGCTGGGATTACAGGTATGAACCACTGCCCGGCCTAATGTGTAAAGAATCATTTTTTTTCTGATTCTAATGGGAGTTCTGATAGCAACAGCTTTTGTGGGTCCCTTGTTTACAGTATGCCTACATATCATGCCTTGTTTAAACCCAGGAGGTAGTGGGTTGAAAAGATTTTGGATAGTGGCATTTGAAATATTGCTTTGTTAGTTATTTTCTGTTTTTAAGAAGTGACAACATTTGAGAGAGAGAGTCATTTTGTGATACCATTCTAGTTTCAGCAGACCAGAGACTGTGTCCCTGAGTCTTGCCTTGGCCACTTTTTGATCTTGCAGGGACAGTCTCTACAGTTTTCTTAGGTTTGGGGGAAAACTCTGCTATAGAACTGAAGATTTTGGAGTAACAGTATTAGGAAATGTGAGGGAGGCATTCATATATAATTCTGTATGTTATATTCAGAGACCAAAAGGTGCTTCCACACTCATGTAAGAGGTGGCAGCAGTTTTGGGGAAATCTTACAGCCTTTTTCTGATGCTTTGAATGTTGTGGGGCTTGGACTGAGTGATCTTGATGGCTGTGAAAAGAACATGGAGAAACACCACTGTTGCCTGGGCCTTAAGAATAGGGTGAAAGTAGATCCCACATTTGCTTCTCAGTCCCTGATCCAGGTGTGTAAACTCCCTCTGAGCACACTTATGTGAGCCATTGCCCTGTGGTATGGCGTGAGGTCTTCCCCATGCAAACTCCTTATCAAGCAGGTGCTCCCTGAACATGACTCACATTGGATGGAGCCCTGCCCGATTAGCACATCGTTGATACGCACCATGACCTGTGCCGGTGATGGTCTGCATTGACTACGGGAGTGTCCCTTGTTTCGGTTTCAGAACTTACTCCAGCAAAAGGACTGTCAACATGGATTATCTGTCACACATACGGGATGCACTGGTACAGCCCCTGACCTCACAAGGGGTGGAAGGAGTACAGAATGTTGTTGCACTTATGGACACATATTATTTGGTGAAAGAAGACTTTGACAATATCATGGAAATTAGCAACTGGGGTGGCAAACCCAGTCCCTTTTCCAAGCTGGATCCCAAGGTAAATTGTATAATCCACTGGTTACGTCACTTTGTAATTACAGTAAGTCCCCTGCATACGAACCTTCAAGTTATGAACTTTAAAGGTGTGCACCTGCATTTTTAATGCATTCTTTCTCTCCACCAGGTGTCAGTATAGCTTGTCAAATACAGTACTATATGCTGATTGTGTTCGTTGGTTACCTAGGTGAAGGCAAACTTTGTTGGACTTTAACAAATTGGACTTACAAACGTGCTCTTGGAATGGAACTTGTTTGTATGTTGGGGACTTCCTGTACCAGGTTGCCTCAGAGATGTTTTAGATGCTTGACAAAAAGGTTTACTTTTTTCCCCCTTAAAGGCTTGTTGCGTCTTATGGCCTGTGCTTTCCAAAGATACTATTTGAGTACATTTGTAAGAGCAGACTTGTGGATTTGACTTTACAATGTGTATGTTATCTTTGCTTTAAGCTCAGAAGAAAAGCAATAGGGAAATCTAAGAAGCAAATGAGGGCAGGGATGAGCCTGGGAGCTGAAAGTAAGGTGCAGTGGGAATAGATTGTAAAGATGTATGAGTAAAGATGCTTCTAGGGGATGAGGAGTGTTATAATTCTTCTGTAGTTTTCCTAATCTGTGGATTCAGTATTCCAGTTGGACAATCTGCTGCATGATAATATATCTCCCTTTTCTTTTTATAATGATTGAGAAAAGACTAAAGTGGTATAACATGAGTATATAACACTGAGCACCTCACTCTTTTACTGGATGCCGTTTTTGAAGACATCCTCTCTGTAGTTTGCCCTCTCTAGATTTTGATCTGATTTAATGGTTATCAGTAAATTCTCACAGCAGACATTCATTGTTAGAATTCATGGGCTAATTCTGGAATTAAGTTTAGAAGCTTGAGATTAAGGTTTTTCAGGTTACTTAGTATTTTGAAGTAACTACTCTTTTATGGTAAAGGTAACTTATGCGTTTTGTGGTAATTAAAGGTCAGCTTAATTACCACAAAAAGTTACCTTAATTACTTAAGGTAATACTGTACTTTATTATGATCCTGTCTTGATTTATTGATTCATTGCCTAACTTTACTTATTAGTCTGTAGGGATGTAGAAAGTGCTGACTTAGGTACAATGACCTGAAGTGACTTTTTTTTTTTGTCTAAAGTTCCCAAATACTGATTCTTAATCTTTTTTGAGTCATGGGCTCTATGAAGACTGTCATGGAAAATGCATATACTTAAACATGTATACACATAAATATTTTGCAAACAGTTTTGAGGGACTCCAAGGGTCTCTCAAAGTCTTTAGACTTACAGAATTTAAAGGCATTGTCTGGCACTTAGATTATTTTAGAAACTCTGTCTACTCCTCTCATATAGGTGAAAGCGGCCTTCACAAGAGCATACAATAAGGAAGCCCACCTAACGCCATACTCACTTCAGGTAGTAAAGACATCTCGACACAGCACAAGCCCATCACTGGACTTGGAATACAGCGAAGAGTTAAATGAAGATGACTCTCAGTCTGATGAGAAAGACCAAGATGCTCTAGAAACTGATGCCATGATCAAGGTCGTGTCTTAAGTTACAGACAGGAGAACCTCAAAATAGATTATCGTTCTTGTGTATGACTTGCATTGTGAATCATAGGACGTCTTTAGCAGATAACAGAGCAAGTTGAAAATACTTTTAAGTTTTTTTGTTCATACTTGATGGTGGAGAAGATATAGATTCATTTCTGTAAACAGTTTTAAGAGCCAAATAGCAAGAAAGTAGGCCATTAGATTATGGCTGTATGCTTTGTTAGAAAAAGTAAGATTTCTATTTATTTGGCCATTTGCATATGCTTTCTTACTTACGGACACACATTTCCACAGCATAATTTTTTAAAAAAACAACATTTTTAACAAAACCAACACAGATAACCTCCCTTCTGTTATTTGTGTTTTGCTATAGCCATTGAACTGCCTGTAGAAGTTTCTCAGAGCAAAACGTCCTTGCCTTTTGCTAGGAAAGATTAAAATCAATTATGGCATCAGCCCACTGTTTACAACTGGCTGAGGCAAAAGAATCTAGTGGGTATCCTCCTCCGCCCTTTGCTGTATGTGTGCATGCTTCCTGCCTTTCACTTCTGTCTTGTATGTGGGGGGCAGGAATAGTGGCCTTCTCAATGCAGCCCTCATGTAGACACTACGAGGCTGTCTCCCTCTTTCCTCTTCCCCTTCACAAAGTGAGTGGGTTTAGATCCCTCATCTGAAATGGAAAGAAAAAAAAAATCTTCATGTAAACATCACCCTGTTTGTAAATCATCTCTTGCTTATTTTGCCTTTCCTAAATATACCTATGTTCTAAATCCAAGAAACTGCCTTGCATGGGGAGCATTCCTTGGTTCTAGATTTTAAATTCTGATTCCGTTTTTACTGCTGGCTTTTAGAGGCAGTAACTAGCCCTGTTGTTACTTGAACATCAGCTTCTCGGGTAGCTGTGGTCCAAGAGCTGGAGGTTTGCAGTCTCTTTCTCCCCCTCCCCCTTTTTT